CAGCGCGTGTTCGTTCCCCACTGCATACACCTGTGGTCCGGAGTTTTGCAAATATCTCAGCATTTCATACGAATTAAGTATTTGGTTCTTAACTGGATAAATAAATGGGTGGGTGAAAGGATAAAATCTCCTACGTTCAGATGCGCTGGTTGACGTGAAGTGCACTCGATGCATATCCATTATTTGTGACACATAAGCTTATACCGTAGTCTAAACTTCAGAATTTGCGCACTGTCGCTTTGTTCTACTTCTTTCAGAGATCCATTAAGAATTGGTCAAAGACGAAAGCTTTATCTCTTATTCTTCACCTTTCAGGATCATCTTTTCCGGCGCTATCATTCACACCTCCGCTGCTTCCGACCTACGCCTTCTGGCTCTACGCCCGCTGCAACTCGGCATTGCGATCTTGCCGTGCCTCCGACATCCTCGGCTTCATCGAAGAAATCTGGTCGCACCCTGCCAATTTCGATCATTTGCTGTCCACAACACCAAGAAATCTCATTAATTACATGTATCCGGTAGAAAACTATTCTCGTTGAACCTTCCCACTGACCCTTCTTCTTCAACATTGAAATTTATCCCTAGATAAACAAGAAGCCTCGTAATTTATGTTTACACTACTTTATGCATTTATTTTCCGCATTTTTCACCCAACCTGCTGAAACGCTGAGATAGCCACTGCAGCTGAATGCGAGAACTAAAAAACTACCATAGGGACCTGCCTGTCCCTTCGCAGAGCGAAATTAACGGGGAGGTTCACAACAAACATCAAATCCAAATTCCCTCACGACAAATAATTTGATTAGTTAGGCAAGCTATTTTTGGTTTTTTGGCAAGTAGCAGGTAAAATGTCTATGAATTCAAATTACTATAGGATTTGATTGCGCACACATTGTCAACACAAAATTGGCGAAGTGCATTGGTATCAATGCACGTGGTGCTGAAACAGTTGCAGCTCAAACTTTTTATTTACTGCCTATTCTTTCTTTCAATGGCAGGGTATGCTACGAAATATAACTTACATAATGCTGAGATATTTGCAAGTGATGGATAGAACTAGCTGAGAGACAGGCGAAACGAAGGAGCCGCATGGTGTGGTGGTGAACAAGTTAGCCCCCGGAAAGGGTAATAGCGCATTCGTTGCCCACTGCAGACACCTGCGGTCCGGAGTGTTGCAAATATCACATTTGCGGCTTTCAAAAATAACTCTCTCTCTCTCTCTCTATATATATATATATATATATATCCCTATCAATGGTGAACCTCAGTGGTTGAAATGGAAGCCAGTAGTTATTTCATAAATATTCCTCTACATGGTGACAGCTCTTTTCTTAAACGTCTTGATCAAGTGTGATCTCGCTGACACCGTTGTACATTTTTACTAACTATTCGATTCAATTCCATCTCAATTTCTTGGACCTCGATGACTCTTCCGGAAGAAATTTGTCTGCGAATACAAAATATCGACGGTGCTCAGTTTCCAGTAAAGAGTTAGTAGTAGTTCATCAGCTCCTTCAAAATCAAAGAATTTCGCAAAAGAAGACCGACTACAATGACATATAAGAACACTTTAGTAGTGTTTTCTAGATCTACTGGAAATTATTCAGCTAAAATCGACAGGAGTTTGTTGAATTTCTCGGAAATGTTCTACTTAAGGCAATTATAGGATAAATTTTAAACACTTAAACTTCTTTTTGGCCAAAACAGCTAAAATTGTTGGTGGAAGCCTAGTTTTTGATCAAAGGAATGAGGCAGAACAAAATCTCGACCGCGACAGCACCTTCATCATTTTAAAATGTTTGATCTAAAACTTGATAGAGAGACTCCGGAACGTTTCACATTCCGTATATGGATTTAAACTCCATGATGGAAAATTCGAAACCATAAGACGAGGTGATGTTGGGTGGTTCTCGGGAACAAAGCAGATGCGACAATCTTAATCGTCCACAGTTAACTAACCCACTGAAGACTGCTGTCCATTGAGCGGAAACGACGACAGCATATACAAGGTAGAATTTCCCAGGGTTTCCTTGCAAAGATCAGTGATCTCTAACAGTTCGAATTACTCCGCGGATGCATGAGAAATGTGCTAAACCTACTGATAATGCCATCGCACTATTTTCGTACTAAAATAAGTAGCCTTAATCCTCTACGGTGGGTTTAGAACGTATTCTTATAAATCCTCATCACCAACGCCAGTCGCTGTACAGCATAGTCAGGCATATGGTTCTTTCATGAGATGTTTTGAAGTGGCTTGCAAAATGGGGGACTTATGTGACGGTGATATAAATAGTAGGCAAGAAAGGTAAATAGAAGATAAGAAATCAAGTTTGTGCTTGTCTAAGGACACCTTGAGCAAAAAATATCGTTTGTGCTAGCTGAAGCCACAACGGAATGAAATCGCTTCTGGAACGCTTGTCATAGCCTAGCTAGTTTTGTGCAAGATCAAGAAAGGTTACACGAAGTTAATAATCCAAGAATGTGTTAATTATTAATGCCTAGATCAAATGATGGTTGGTTAGAAAAGTATTAAGAAAGGTGCTCCTTCATCATCCATACAGGACAGTTACTAAAGTGAGAACGGAGCATCATTGAGGCTTCCCTTCCCAATCTCTACGACTCCCGTCGTCACTCTGCCTAGAGTCAGTTACCTTTTTACGGCGGACACCAACCGGTTTCTGGTACAAGACAAGCAGTGGACAGGCTCGTAAGGATTTCACAAGGATCAGCGCACTTAGTTTCGAGATTTTATTTGATATGTGTTAGTGAGGCGACCACAATGAGATCTATCAACTGTTGCAGAGACTTTCCATTTGTGGAATTGAAATTTGCACCTGAGCGAGTCCCTGTGAAATTTTATAAAGAAGAACAATTTTTTGTGAGTTGAGAACCTAAAAAGATGTAGGATTTTAGTAGTTATCAGGTTCAGTTCATAGGCAACTGAAAAGATCGGAGATTAAATGAAGTGAGCCGTTTTTGAGCTGGGTGTTGAATATTTTCTATAATCTTGTCCTGTGAAGATCGTTCCAGGTCAATATATTACACTTGCAGACGAAAACATGTGATCATCTTTTAGGTCGATATATCACTGTTGCAGAAGAAAAAACCTGAGCTAAACATTGACCTCTACTTCCACGTTGTTCTTCAGTACGATACGAAAGAACTAGCGGATTCTTTCGATTCTGTACCTCCTTCGATATCTTTGAACAACTAAAATTTTTAGAAGTTGGGTTTGAACCTGCTAATTTTAGTTAAGGAACTCGAAAGCATTTCGTGTGAATGCCTGTGTCTGGTTTGATAGTGTGGAGCATTGTCGGTGCTACCAAGAGGTGGCACTTATTCAGTCCCAACGGTTTACCGGTTGCTAAGGTCGTGCTGGTTGCAAGTCGCAACTGACTACACCTCCATAACCAAAGGAAAAAAGCACAAAATAAAGATTTTAAAAATATTGAAGGCTTAAAACCTTCCGTCCAACAAATAAGCTCCATGCCCACTCTGGGAGACCCTGGCTACCCCTGAGTATACCCAGCCCTACGACCAGAGCCCAGCAAGCTATACGTGTGTAACAAAAGTGCTAAACACAGTTTAAAAAAACGGACCTCATTCCCCGAACTCGAAAAGAGCCCCCAATTTCGCAGCGTTGGGAAGGGCGACTACGAAGAGCCTACTAAAATCTCAGGGCCATTCTAAGTTGCTTAAACAGCAAAGTATTAAGGTGAGGATCCGCACCTACAATGCGTGCACACTTGTATTTGTGTCTTTGATAAAAGACGTTGCCATGCAAGCAAGATGGATAAGGTACGACGTCGTCGGAGTGGCCTAAACGAGACGACGCAACCCATTCAACACCGTCTATGACACCGGAGAAGAATTGTTGCTCAGTACATACGACAGTAGAGGAGTCGGCGGCGCCGCGTTCTCGTCAACACGGGTTTGTCCATGAACATCGGTTCATTCGATCAACTAACAACACGAATCGGATGTTTACGACTAAAAAGATGTGGATCAATACAATCTTTTGCATGCGCAGGTCTGCATCAAACTATGACGAAGAAGAAGTCAAAAAGTTCTACGTGGACTTGGAGAAGTTCTACAGAGATGACCGTACATTCTTCAAGATTATCATTGGAGATTTTAACGCTAAGATTGGACCAAGAAAAACGTTTGAAGAACGTTACATTGGGAACCCACGGATTAGAAGTGAACGAGCAGAGTAAGCAGATGTCAGACTGTCATGACGACCAATACCATTCATGGTAACTCGAAACTTCAGAAGCCTCACTATTAGCGCTTGACGTAGGATTCTCTTGGTGGAGAGTACCTTAACGAAATAAGTCACATCATAAAAACAGTAAATGGAAGTACAACCACAATGGTGCCGAGGTATTTGCAAAACAGCAGGTGTTTGCAGTGGGCAACGAACGCGCTATTACTCTTTCCGGGGGCGGATGACACTGATTGATAGAACTAGCCGGGAGACAGACGAAACAAAGAACCCAGTTGGTGTGGGGGTGAACGAGTTAGCCATCGGAAAGGGTAATAGCGCATTCGCTGCCCATCGCAGACACCTGCGCCGCGGAGTTTTGCAAATATCTCGGCACCATCGTAGTTGCATTTCGCATAATATCCTACCATAAAAATTGTATAGCCAGCAAATAAAAAGTTAAATCGGTAAGTCTAAGGTTACTCCGTGCCAACATCACTGTTGCCTCAAAATTGTACACGGAATCAGATCATTGCCTGCTTTGTGCAAGATTCCATTTCTCACGAAAAGGAGAAAAAGCCGCTAAATTCAAAAAACGAACACCTAAAATAACAATAAACTGGGACATATTCAATCCATTAGTGGGCTGTTGGGAAGACGCCGTTCTCGATTACATCGACGTGGAATGCGATCGGCTCATTCAACATCTTCACGTTAGCGCTATGAAAGCTGAGAGTTCGAAAGTCACCATAAGATGTCTGTCTCTAGAATTATTCGAGCTGATACGCTAGCGTGGAATCGCACGAGCTGCAGGCAACCGCGAATTAACGTCCGAACTTGGAAAAAAATGCAGACAGGCGATAAAAAATCTTGAAGAGAGAAGAGGAGCAGTAATGGTCGAAACTGCAAAGGCTGGCAAAAGCATTTGCAAAACCCACCGAAGCTTCGCCAATTACAAGACTGAAATGATTGAACTCCGAACCCCAGACGGAACAGTAACAGCGTCTGGAAAGGCAATCAAGGAAGTCATTCACTTTTACTATTCAGATCTCTTCAATAGCCACGTCCTCCTGCGCTCATATGAAATAAAGGTTGATGGACATGTCGCACCAATGGTTCTCCCTTCCTAAATCCAACATGATATCGGTGAAAAATCGAACAGCACCAGGTCCGGACAGGATAAAACCAGAACCTGAAGAACCCTCCGTAATCACACTGGCTAGGCTATTCACACGTTACCTGTCTGAACGCAAGGTCCCCACTCAGTGGAAGACCACGAAGACCGTGTTATTGTTCAGGAAGGGTGATCTACACGATATCGGTAGCTGTCACCCTATATGCTTGCTGCCCGCTGTCTACAAACTTTTCACTCGAGCCATCTTAAACAGGATTGACAGAACACTGGACGAAGGACAGCCATGTGAGCAAGCAGGGTTTTGAAAAGGATTTAGAACGATGGACCATATCCACACGGTAACAGGGCACATTGAAGTATCGCGAGAGTACAAAAGACCCCTCTGTCTCACTTTCATCGATTTACATAAGGCTTTTGATTCAAATGAGATAGAAGCAGTCATGGAAGCTCTTGATAGTCAAGGAGTCCCTGCTCAGTACATAAAGATTCTTGTCAGCTGTACAAAAACTTCACAACCAAGATATCACCATTCTACAACGATATTAACATTGAAGTCAAAAGAGGAGTTAGGCAAGGCGATACCACTTCGCCAAAATTATTTACCACCACCCTCCAGAACATCACGCGAACATTGAAATGGGATAATAAGGGAGTGAAAGTCGATGGCCGCAGTTACACCATCTTCGTTTTGCTGATGACATCGTCCTTTTAACACCAAACATTAGCGAAGGGAAACGTATTTTTGCCGACTTTGATAAAGCCTGTGGAAAGATTGGTCTTCGACTAAACCTCACAAAAAAGATGTTCATGAAGAACGGATTGGTTTCGCATCCTCCATTCAGGCTCAACGGAACCAATATCTCCGAATGCTCCAATTATATCTATCTAGGTCGGAAAATCAATATGATGAACGGCCTAGCTCCAGGTCTGAGCAGAAGTAAACGAGCGGCTTAGGGAGCTTTCAAGAGCATTGTGGATGTAAAGAAGAGAACAAAGAACACCTGACTCCGTGGCCACCTTTTCGACTCAACGGTACTCCCTGCCTTAACATAATCGTCAGAAACTTCGTCGACGAAGCTAGGAGTATCCCGTTCCATACGAGTAAGGAATGGGATCCGAAGCTCCGATCGGCGTCAACGATCAAAAATCGAAGTTGCCGTTTTGTACGCCAAACAGTCGTAGATAAGGTGGGCCGGACACGTAATGCGTATGAATGAGGATCGATGGACAGGACCCGTTAGTGATTGGACTCCTCGGGATGTTAAACGCACTGCAGAAAGACCACCGACTCGATGGTCAGGAGTTCTTCGCGAAAAACCTAGGAGAAAGATATGATGCTCTACTAATCCCTAGAGCGAGCAAAACCCATTATGACTATTATGAGTATTTCAAAACTGATTTTCCCTTAGCCTCGGTATGACAAATCAGTACGTATTCTTTTTTGATAAGCTTACACAAGGTTGATGAAAGATGTTTATTTTCGGCTGTTTCGACGACGGTTTCGTCTTTGTCAGAGCCGATGATTCCAGTCTTGTCCACAGTTGGAGTTGTCGAGGCGGCGCCTTCGTCGCACATCGGGGCGGGTCTTCGATGAATAATGGATGATGAATGAAAATGAATGAATGACTGAATGAATGAGTCGATGATCTTAAATGTAAGTATTTAAACTACATAAATACTTCAAGTCGACGACGAAGAATTTCTTTTTATAATGATATTCTATTCAAAGTACTGTACAAAAACATAAAAAAAACATCAAGAATAAAATTTATTAAAAAGAAAATGGTTCAAAAAATAAGTATGGGCGAGAGAATCAAGTAGCACAGAACTTTCCGTTTCAGCGACGAATATGAAACGAGGAGGAAGCGAATCGGATGGTCGAGAAGGTTCTCCGTCTATATGGTCTTTCTTAACAATGATTGGCAATCGTTGGATGTTTACGTCACGATAAGGTTTAATAATTTATTGATTTTATTGTTTTTTGTATTTCTGTCTTGCAAACACGCTTGTCTGAGAGGCCAGAAACGCTGATTTGACAATTGAGCAGGCATCCGTAATTCACTCTACAAGCGTGTTATGCGTTCAAACACCTCTAAAGATGCTTTATTAGATCGGTTCCATTTTGCAACTCTCACAGTGATAGTAATGAACGCCGTTTCTTATTACCTTTCTGTTTCCTTTTCTATGTGAAAGCTTAAAATCAATAAATTGCCTATGCCGTAGTGTTTTCATTCCAGGAACCTTTCTGCGCACAAGATCATCAGTAAAGAAGAATAAGAAGGTATTCTTCATCTAGATCTACATAGCAGTCAGAACACTCCAACTGAGAAGCGAATGTAGCGTGATGGTTAGAGGTCTCTTGCACAGTACAAATGGTCCTCGACTCGATCATGCGCATGGGATCATTGAAGCCCTCCATCGCTCTGGGGGCGTAAAATTGGTGCCATACTTTCTGGGTGAATACTGGGACTGGGTTATACATCCATAAGCAGTCGAAAACCATTATGTAAGCAAAATGTGCATTCACTCACCTCCTTGGTGCCGATTGATCACCTCGGAGATTGATCAATACTAAACGTCTCGATAAAATTGCCCAGTCCATCGCACCAAGGATAAGTTCTAGTTTATGTCACTGAAGTTCAAAACATTCGTTTTTATTGGAAGGTCTATAATTAAAAAAGAAATCTGGATTGGGGGTATCCAACTTTTGGAGAAATTGAAGCCTTATTACCTTTCTGTTTCCTTTTCTATGTGAAAGCTTAAAATCAATATTGCCTATGCCGTTGTGTTTTCATTCCAGGAACCAGTCGTGTTAAAGGAAAAGTGCGGTTCACCAATCGACATTACGCCATGCGCACAGCAAAAACTCGATATGGACTCTATGGCTGAACACGCTGATAAGGTAACGGGCAAGTGCCTCTGCATTGATGAGAAATAATTAGCTGCGTAACATGCTAAACATTCTAGAAGTACATGTTCTACTCACCCACTATCTTGAGTAAATCATTCTTTGATAAACCAATAAGAAAAATGGGGAGGCGGGGAGTACAGTGGTAGTGGTGCAGATCATCACGAGCAGATGTTAGTTCGATCCGCCCCAGGCTCACCAGGCCTCTCATCCCTTCGTGGTTAGAAAATTGGTACCCGCGTTGTCCGAGAAAAATCACTCTCCGCAGTCCAAGTGGTAACGCTCTAGATCTGCTCTCTGGGGATTCCAGGGAATCGACTCGACCAACACTCAACGACATTCATAGGGAAAAAAAGCTCTTAAGCAGCAGCCGAAACCACATCTAATTGGATTCAGCTGTTCCAATCTTTCTCATTGGAAGTCACGTTGATCAATCTTTAAGGGATGCGCATGCATTCGACTTCATTAAGCATCGCTGGAGGTGATTGAATGCATATCTGGCCTTTACTGACCAACCGATGTATCGAGCCAGTAATGTTGTCCTTTCAGACAAGTCTGGTACTAGTCTGCAGATCCTGGAGGAGTGGGAGGCTTGGTGGGCCACAGGAGCAGAGGTCGATCCCATGTGTATTGCAGAGCGCCTCCGACTACGGCGCCACGCCTGCCACATGCGCCACTCTTTCCCTATAAATGCAAATTATATTATTCTAGCGACACGAGATTGTGGTTTTTTGGAAAGCAGGAGATACAGGAAACAGCTTTTTGTTGATGTTTTATAGATCAGCTCACGTCTGTCTTGCATAAAGGAGCGCTGAGAGGATTGGCGACTCGAAAAAGTTAGCACGAATTTTCGGATTTTTTACTTGGGGTGTATGTCCTTTGAGAGGCCCCGCCTCAAGTCCATGCTGTTCTTTTTCTCTCTAAGTTTTCAAGGATGGCGGCAAATAATTTTCGCGAGAGAGTGCTGCTT